AGACTTCTACTCTATTCCCAGTAATTTGTTGTCATTTTACAGTATAGCTAAGTTATAATTTAACATTCACTAAGGATCTAAATACTAGACAACAAAAAAGGTGCAATTATCTGTCATGTGAGGAGGGGTATAAATATAGTTAAGATGATGTCTTTTCTCTAGGAAGTCATAGCAAATTCTAATGTATATATATAATATCAATGGTCAGAAAATAATACCACAATCGCAGGCTGTGATAATGATCACATGCAAAGTACTATTAGAGACAGAGAAAAGAATTAATTCTTACTTAGGTGGGAATAAAGGAAGGCTTTGAAGAAGACAGTGAACATGAGCTAAATTTTTAGGATTGGTTGAATTTCAGGAGACTGATGATGGAATGAGTGGTTGGCATGGCAGGGCTGAGAAGTGATGGCAGGGGAATGGAGTGAATGAGTACATGCTGAGTAAAGGGGAAAAAGGCCTGTAACAAGCTTCCTCTTGCCTGACTGCCACACATTTTCAACTTTGTAAAAGAAAAGGAAGAAAATCTTTGGAACCATTTTTTTTTTTTTTTCTGCGTGATCCCAGCATTGCTTATGTGGATTGTCAAATAAGGGATGGACTCATAAAAGGATATTAATGTGTCATTTTTATTGAGCAAAGTAGCATTACAGAACAGGTGATTTCAAAGGCACATGACTCTCTCATTACAGCCGTCAGGGGCAATGTTTGATCACTGAAAACAGGCTGCTTTGTTCAGCTTTCTCTGATGTTTGGCATTATCCTGAATACATATGCTCTGACTTGGAAAGAATCAGTCTGTAAAGATTTAATAGATTTGAGATTTGCATATTGAAAATGCATGTCTTGTGGTTAAAAATGAATTGAAAACTATTTTTATATCTATATACACACATTATTCAGACACACATCTCAGCAATTTTTTGAAGGCAATTAGGCATATTATAATGTGCTTGTTCTGAGATTATGAATGTTGGCTGTTTTTTAAATTAACCATTTTATATTTTCACTGAGGAAAAATGTATTTTAAGAGACATAATAATGATAACAACGTGCAAGAACTCTTCAAGTTTCAGGAGTTTGTGATTTGCTGTATTTCCTGCCACCTATCATGGACATAACTTTCTAGAGTTGGGTATCACTGACTCCTCCCTTAATTAAAAATGAGTTCATAGCTTTCTTACTTACAGAATATCACAAGTCACAAAGAATTAAAGGCAAATATTAAAGATTAACATTCTCATGAGGTTCTTTTCCTTGTATGACTGAAAAAAAAGGGGGGGGATTTTCTTTTTTCAAAAGAAGAGGGATGATTAGAAAGAGACCTAAAGTGGCAAAAGGTTTTTGTATGGTGACAAAAACTCACAATTTTCTCCTAGATTTTGACTTCTGTCCCCTGTGAGTTGATATGTAATCTCATATAAACTCATCTTTTAATTCTGAATTCCAGTGGAACCTTTGAAAAAGAGCTGGCATTCCAAGTGAGTCAGTCTGCTGTACATTACATCTGCAATTAGACATTCATTGCACTGAAATTAAGCCAAACAGACTTCTGCTGAAATGGGAAAGATCAAATTAATTCTATTTCATGTGACAGAAAACTCACCGTGTCACTCTGCTCTTTTAAATCCTTCCCTTTCCTTATTCCCACTGACACAGCCTCAGTGATGCTGAACGCTTTCTCTACCTGACGTCCTTCTCTCTGCTGAGTTTTGCTACAACCTCAGAACAGAGACTATTTCAGTTATACATTTGTTGTCTAGACTAGTGCTTTCCAGACCTTAATGTACTTATGAATCATCTGGGGATCTTGTTAAAAATGCAGGTTCTGATTCAGCAGGTCTGGGGTCTGGCTAAGATCCTAACGAGCTCCCAGGTGATGCAGCAGTCCACACTTTGGATAGCAAGTGCCTAGATATCTATGACCTCTCATTAACTTGGTATTAGTTCCTAAACCCTGATAACTGAAAATGCAAATTCTCTGACTCTGAGGTTGCTTCAGACTAATTGTTTTGTTGTTGTTGTTTACTGGTAATTTTATAAACACACTGCATGATCTGGATTCCCTCTAATTCTCCCGTCTCCTTTCTTACCAGTTCCCACTTCTTACTTATATTTGAGACATAAAATATTATGTGAAGTTTCCAGAATGTATCAGACTCTTTCACACTTCACTGCCTTTTCAAATACTATATCCTCTCCTGCCTTAACATCTTGTGAGGTTTCCTTTAAAACTCATCTAGGCTGTTGTCTCCTCCATAATTCTTTCTCTAATCTCTCTACCATGTAATTGCTTAGTTAAATGTTGCCAATTTACTCCCACAATGCCCTATATTTTCTGTATTATAGCAATCTCATAATCTGCTTCAATTGTTTGCTTCCTTGTCTCTTCTCTTCAAAACAGTGCTTCTATGGGGAAAACATATGCATGGGACCTCTAATGCATGCATGTGTTCTCAGGTGCTTCAGCCATGTTTGACTCTTTGTGACCCTGTGGACTGTAAGCCACCGTCTCCTCTGTCCATGGCATTATCCCAGCAAGAATACTGGAGTGGATTGCCATTTCTTCCTCCAGGGGATCTTTCTGACTCAGAGATCAAACCCACGTCTCCTGCAGCTCCTGCATTGACAAAGGAACTCTTTACCACTGAGCCACCTGGGAAGCCTCTATATCTCTAATTACAATGTCAATTAGATTACTGCCAATTAAATGCCAAATGAAATTACTGCCAATTACAATGTCTGACACATAGTAAGTGCTCATTAAAGATTGCTCAATCAGTGAGGAAGGGCGGTTGATGTGTTGGTAGATACACAGTAATATAATGCAGTATTTTTTTCATGAAGCTTAAAATTAAATTGGGAGTAATAGAAACTAAAGTCATAAAAAGTTAAGTACAGGATGAGATAATACTGTAAAAGTAAAATGCTACTGTGAGATTAATTGCCAAATGAGAATCAGAAAATAACTATTCCGAGCTCACTGGAAGAAAATGTCACTGTGAATTTATTATTATTTAATATCCCAGTGTGTTCCATGAGGGATTTGAGACGGCCAACAACACAACGTATTGAAGTTAATGAAAAGTAATGAACATATGTGTATGTATTAAGGGAATAGTGTGAGAAAAGAAGTGAGGTTTAGAAGTATACGAGGAGCGCATACACTGGCTTGCCTGCAAAAATGACCCTCATTTTTGGACCATAAGATCGGTGTGCTAGATTTCATTTCCACTCTGCCTGGAAGGCTGACTCCTATGGAGTCAGCAGCTCACTGTCCTCTAGCTTCTGGCTGAACTGGGGTGCACTGGCTTATGATCCAATGGAGAAAGAGTGGGATCAGGACATTTATGTTCTTGTATTTCCTAGAACTGGCTGTGCCTGTGTGTAAATCGCCGCTTTGTTAAAACCTCCTTCTTCTTATTCAGTCGCCCAGTTGTGTCTGACTCTTTGCCACCCCGTGGACACAGCACACCAGGCCTCTCCGTCCCTCACCATCTCCCGAAGTTTGCCCAAGTTCATGTCCATTGCAACAGTGTCCATTGCCCAAGTTCATGTCTATTGCATCCATTGCACACATCAGTCATGCTGTGTAAGTCCACCCAAGACGGACAGGGTCATAGTAGAGAGTTCCGACAAAACATGAACCACTGGAGGAGGGAATGGCAGACCACCCCAGAATACTTGCTGTGAGAACCTCAAGAGTTGTATGAAACCTCCTTAAATCATTCTGATTTGCATATGTCCCCTGCTCCCTGTTGAGACTGATACAATCACAGAACTGTTTAAAGCTAGATTAAATGCCATTTTCTTCTGCAGAGGATCTTCCTGATCCAGGGATTGAACCTGGGTCTCCTGCATTGCAGGCAAATTCTTTACAGTTTGAGCTACAGGGTAGATCTAGATTAAATGCTGGGCTTAATAGGTTTCATGATAACCATTAATGCTATAAAAATGTTTTAGATACCTGCTATATCTGTGAGGAGGGGTCTCAGCAGAGAAAAATTCAGAAAACCAACCAACTAACCTAAAATTGTATGCTCTTATTGTTCATATTTTAGTGTGGTAAAGAGGGTTTAAATCATATTGGAGGTAAGAAAATTGATATATTTAAAAATCCCACAGTTCTGCAATGTTTGTTTATATCAACCTCTAGTTTCCTGTTTTATTGTAAAGTGACAGTATCACAGAGATGTAGTTTGGGGGTTGTTTCCTTTTTATTGAGGGTAGGTTATCCAGAACTTTTGCTTCTCCTGTTTCCTGTTGCTCGTCTTTTAGTTATTTCACCGTTCAGTGTTTTTCTATCAGGAGATATAAAAGAAAAATTAAAGAGATGAGAAATTCAGCTTTCACGTCTATGGTAAAATGTTTCTTAGGAAGGAGACTGAAATCCTGAACTAAAATGAAGCTTTTCAGTTTCTCTGGACTGGTCTGCCCCCTGTTGCCATCAGATACTGAGAATTGTTTCCAGCTTGTCAAAAACAAGAGAAAAAGTGGGCAAAATGTTATTTTCATGATGATGAAAAGAACTAGGTATTTTAAATAGTTGCAATGCCCTTAACATGAAGCCCAGGTATACAAATCCTCTGTCTTTGGAGGTTAGATGGTATTACAACCTTGTTTGCAGTATTAACTTAGATCATTATTGACTCATGTGGGTTTCACTCTGTGACCTAGCAAAAAAAGATCATAAATTCCAGCAGTGGAAGACATGGCTGAGCTTGACCTTGGAAAGATGAGCTAAAGGTACCGAAGAAACCATAAATTCAATTTACAATAATAGCAAAAATAAGATTGCTTACACTTTGCCCTGTGGATGAAGTGAAAAATCTAATATTTTTCCTAGTACATGCTGTACATTTTGCCAAGCTTGATTAAATTCCTGTTTAGCAGATGTCTAAGAGAAGAACTGAATAAAAATGCTTCATATGAGACTTTTGATTCCTACTTTGGTCTTCATTATTGAATTCTCTTTTTCTTCTTCTTTTCAGGCTCTATTTATGAAATGTTCGGAGATGAATGCTGTTTGTCAACAGGGGAAGTGATTAAAATTACTGACCTCAAAATTAAGAAAATCATGGCTGAAATTTGTGAGCAGGTTGAAGGTTGTGTGTCTCCAAAATCATTTGAACTGCCTATGAATTTTCCAGGTACATAATTTTGCAACAATTTCTCATTTGTAAAACTGTATTGTTAAATGCTATATAATTTCTATACTGAAAACAATGAAAAAATGGTATTTTTTTATTCTAGGGTAGTGGGTGAAAAACTCGAGTCTTAAAGTTCAGTGATTTTTAAGGACTAATAGAAGGCAAATATTCTCACCTTTTCAGTAAATATATTTTATTTAGGAATTAATATTTTATGCTATGAGATATTTGTGAGTTCAACTATATGCACCATTAGCTGTGCTAGGTAGTAGGAATGAAGAAATTAAACATGTATTTTCATAATTTATGTAGAACTAATTAATCTTTCTTAACCATATTTGCACTCCTTATTCCTAACTCCCTGGATTACTGCTAGCCTTCATTTGCTGGCCTCACTGACAAAGCTTGGCTGCTCTTCTTTGTCTAGTTAACGCTATCTTCAAAAATTATCTCAGATATTATGTCTCCTAGGAAACTTTTGCTGACTTTAAAATTCAATCTAGATATCACTCTTTTATGTTACCATAGTATCTTGGGCACCATACTATACACCTTATTGGATAGTAATTAGTGATTTCTTTATTTGTCTTATTCTTTAGAACAGAGTTGGCAGGTTTTTTTTTATAAAGGACCAGGAGGTAAATATATTTAAGTCTTCACTTGCCAAATGGTCTTCATAACAACTACTCCACTCTGATGTTGTTACATGAAAGTCGCTATAGACACTACTTGAACCAGTGAATGTGGTTGTGGTTCCGTAGAAATTTATTTCAAAATCAGGGGGTTGGCAGATTTTGACCTGTGAACTATAGTTTGGTGAACTCTGCCTGAGAAAAAAAACCCATACAGGAGACATCAGAGACATAGGTTTGATCCCTGGGTTGGGAAGACCCCCTGGAGGAGGTCATGGCAACCCACTCCAGTATTCTTGCCCGGAGAATCCCATGGACAGTGAGGCCTGGTGGACTACCGTCCATAGGGTCTCAGAGTTGGACACAACTGAAAAGACTTGGCATGCACGCATGCAATATGGCAGTGAGATGTGGCGGGGTGGAAACGTTCACTAGTCCTGTGATTATGTTATAGTATTTTTGTGAACTTGTGCCTCTGAATTGTGAACTTCACGAGTGCTTCTTGGTCCTGTTCCCTGCATCCTTAGTTGGGACAGTATGGCTAGAGTGGGTTGGAGTTGGGTATTTCCCTTCTCTGTCGTGGAGGACCAGTGCAGGCCAAAGCTGGGTATTTCCCTTTCCCCAAGTGGAAAGGTGAGAATGGGCTTTGTTGTATGTTTTCCCGAAGTGGAAGGCTAGAGTGGGTGTTAGCTGTGTATTTTCATCCCTCCGAGTCAGTGAGTCTTGATAAAGCACTGATTAAGAACAGAATGCTCTGGCCTGTTTCAAAATGGGTTTTTCTACCTTCGCTCTTTGAGAAGCATGAGGGGATTTTTCTTTGATAAACACTGTGAGAGCTAGGTTGAGTTTTTGGTGGTAGAACTTAAAAAACTGTGGTCCCTCCCTATGATTAGATCTCCCTTGAGGTTTTTTTACTCTCACACTTGTCCACGTTAAGCCTCCAGCAGTTTGTTGATTGCAGTTCAGATTTGTCTAGGCTGGTACTGGTTTTTGCAGCAGTTTCTTCTCCAGTAAATTGTGATTCTCGGTACCTCCCTGTCTGTCTCTCCAGTTTTGGAGGCAGTAGTTTGTCCTCTGATCTCACTTCTCTGATGTACCTAAGAATGGTCATTGATTTTTTCAGTTTGTTCATATTTCACTTTTCTTTAGGACAGAGGGATATCTTCCAAATTCCTTGTATGTCAGACTAGAAACAAGAAGTCTGGTGCTTTTTAAAAAAATATCTAAATATATGTGGGTATATTTAGTGATTTTTTTCAGTACTAGTCTGGGGATTACAATTGTCTTAATTTTTAGCAATCTAGTTTGGATTAGCCAATCTAATTTCAATGGTATAAAAAATTTGGCTCCCATATAGATCTGTTTCTTACTCCATGGTTCAGTTCAGTTCAGTTCAGTCACTCAGTCATGTCCGACTCTTTGTGACCCGTGAACCGCAGCACGCCAGGCCTCCCTGTCCATCACCAATTCCCGGAGTTTACTCAAACTCATGTCCATTGAGTCGGTGATGTCATCCAGCTATCTCATCCTCTGTTGTCCCCTTCTCCTTCCACCTTCAATGTTTCCCAGCATCAGGGTCTTTTCCAATGAGTCACCTCTTTGCATCAGGTGGCCAAAGTATTGGAGTTTCAGGTTCAACATCAGTCCTTCCAATGAACACCCAGGACTGATCTCCTTTAGGATGGACTGGTTGGATCTCCTTGCAGTCCAAGGGACTCTCAAGAGTCTTCTCCAACACCGCAGTTCAAAAGCATCAGTTCTTCAGTGCTCAGCTTTCTTCACAGTCCAACTCTCACATCCATACATGACCACTGGAAAAACCATAGCCTTGACTAGATGGGCCTTTGTGGACAAAGTAATGTCTCTGCTTTTTAATATGCTGTCTAGGTTGGTCATAACTTTCCTTCCAAGGAGCAAGAGTCTTTTAATTTCATGGCTGCAATCACCATCTGTGGTGATTTTGGAGCCCCCCCAAAATAAAGTCAACCACTGTTTCCCCATCTATTTGCTGTTTAGTGATGGGTCCAGATGCCATGATCTTATTTTTCTGAATGTTGAGCTTTAAGCCAACTTTTTTGCTCTCCTCTTTCACCAAGAGGTTCTTTAGTTCTTCTTCACTTTCTGCTATAAGGATGGTGTCATCTGTGTATCTGAGGTTATTGATATTTCTCCCAGCAATCTTGATTCCAGCTTGTGCTTCTTCCAGGCCAGAGTTTCTCATGATGTACTCTGCATATTGGGTTTTTATTATTATAAAAATCACATCTTTATACATTGTGTGCCCATCAGCACAGATTTGTAACTTTTTTATGCAGCTTTTAAAAAAAAAAAATAAGCTAGGAGAAAAGTGAAAGCAAAGCATACGTTTAAATGTCTTTTACTTTCGCAGTTACCTTTATTGATAACTCTATTTTGTCACATACAATAGAGTCACTGATTTGTATCCTCTCATGTTAGCCTAAAGGACCCTCTTGAGTGTTTTCTTGTTTGGAAGGTTTGGTAGTGATGAATTTTCTCAATGTTTGTTTATGTGGAAATGTCTTAATAGTTTCTTTATTTTTACAGGATTTTTTTTTCTGGACAGAGAATTTTTGGTTGATAGCCCTTTTCTTTTAGCACTTTAAGTATGTCATCCCAGTGACTTCTGTCCTCCATGGTTTCTAGCAGAAATTAGCTTTTAATCTTATGAGATACCCTTGTACATGATGATCACCTCCCCCCTGCTGCAAATTCTCTATTGTTTTTACTTTTCAACTGTTTACTTATGAAGTATCTAGCCATGGATCTCTGAGTTTATTCTGCCTGGAGTATGTTGAGCTTCTTAAGTGTGTAGATTAATGTTTTCCATCAAATTTTGGAAGTTTTTGCCATTATTTCCTCAAATATTATTTCTGCACTTTCTTCTCTTTCTTCTGAGATATTCATTCTTCACATATTGATACGCTTGATTGTGTCTCACAGGTCTTTGAAGCTCTGTTTGTTTTCTTCATACTTTTTGTTTCTTAGAATGGATAACCTGTTTACCTACTTTCAAATTTGACTTATATTCTCTATTTGCTAGGACTTGATTTCATACTTCCTTTTCATCCTATAGACACAGTTTCTTTTGGTTCTTTGAATATATTTAACATAGCTGTTTGAATTCTTTCTCTAGGAAGTCTAGTGTCTAGGCTTCCTCAGAAACAGTTTCTGTTGATTGAATTTTTTCCCCTTGCTTATGAGCCAGAAACTTGTTCTTTTGCCTGTCTTGCAATTTAATGTCTAATATTGCATATTTTCAACAATATAATGTATCAACTCTAGAAGTTGGATTCTCTTCCCTCCTCAGGGCTTCTTATTGCTGATTATTTAGTGATTCTTCTGATAGATTCTTAATTTCTGGTTGATAATTCAAAAGTTTTGATGAAGATGACCATAACTTTGACAATGGTATGCATGGTACCCTTTATTTGCAAATAAAGATGCTCTACTGAAGAAAGATATATAGCTTTTAACCAGTAAATATAGCTGTATAGATGCAACTCCAGCAAATGAAAGCTCAAGTAACAATTAAGAAAGAAAAACTCTGTAGTGAGTTGGCAAGGACTCTTTAAGGGAATGAACTGGAAGCTGATTTTTTGCTAAACGGGAGTGGGAAATTAAGCTTGCAATATACATAGCTGATTGCATCATATATTTTAATATTATGTTTCTAGATATATTATGTTACCTAAAAAGTCTTCAATATAGTGAAAGAAATAAAAAGCAATCACTTCAATTGTTTATGGAAATAAACATATTGTATTAGAAGCATAATTTGTTATTTTAGAAGACAGCCCACTTGGTTAAGTCGTTTTATGAGCTAGAAAACATGTCACTCTTGCCAAATACAACAAAAATATATTCTGATATTTGGTAGTTGATTGCATTCTCCACATAGATCAGTAAATCATGTAATGTTTGGGTTATAGTAAAGTTCCAAACTTCTGGATTACTTCTTGGAAATATTTGTTTCTCCTTCATAGTGTTATTAAGCATGTATAATAAATGCTTTCTCTTTAGACATAAGAAATATCCTAAGTTTCAGTATATGTTTTTTTTTTTAATCAGATGGACAAAGTTTATTTCCAAGCAGCAAACTTACATAATATCTCTAAACCATATGTTCAAGAAGGGCTGTGGTTGAATCTGTAAAATCACCATAAAATTACATGGTTAGATTGAAGACATTTTTCTGTTTGAATTTTTAGATCATATTTTATGAATTTTATAATTGTGGAGGAATACTGTTGTGTAGGCGTGTGGGAAGTGTGGTAGTAGAACTTAGATATGGAACATTCCCTACTACCCTACAGTCTATCCTGCCCACATCACAGTCTCAGAGAATCC